AGAAGTTTTTATTTCCGTTGCCCTTCCGTCAGAGTTTTGTTTGTGTGCAATCTCGAGAATTTTGTTTCATTTTTTATTCTCAGTGCTTTGCATTATGTCGAAATGGCCTTAACGTCCTCCACATTCACTGACATCAATTTTGATATTTGAGCAATTTTATGATGGAATTTGAAACTGGCCGTCTCATTTTTTATTCGATACTCATTCCAAGCTGCAATTATGACAATTTTTCTCGTGCACCCCTTTTCCTCTTTAACTTCCTAAGTTTTTATGTGCTTCTTGAGCGATCGTGAGCTGATTTTAGGATTTTGATGCGAGAATTCAATTGATTCTGACGAAGAAGTTCTAAGATATGAATTTCTTTGAATGATTTCACAGTAGTTGCTGAACATGTTGTCAATTGTTGTAGTGCTGCCATTTAGTTCAGCTTCATGGGCGATTATTTGCGCATGAAATTTTTTGAAAAAAATGCAACGTGTTTGATTTAAGCTGCGATTATGGTTTTATCTTTGACCGTATCGTTTTTACACGCTTGACGCCAATGTTTGTTTTGCATGTGAGCCTCGCGACTACACCGCCTATGCTTTCCATGTTGAGTCAACTGCGATCACGTAGTTTTCCCAACTGTGAAGTTTTCTCCTTGCGCTTTGCCCCTATTCTCATCTGAATCTGTTTTCGAAAATTTGCGGATTATTTTCCGCTTTCCAATTAGCTTCTTTACTGAGGTATTGGCAACATTTGTATCTTTCATGAGTTTGAGACATAATTCGCTTGTGCCTCACTCTTTCTAGATCTTAGGACGTATTTTTGGGCATCTTCCTTATGAAGCTTGATATTTTGGTTGAAAAATCAGTCGAACAATCGAGTTATCGCTTTCTCGTGCTGTTCAACTCGTTTTTTTTTGGTCCAAAGGCTTCTCTTATATGATGTTATCATTTGAAGGGAAATTCCTGTGTAAATATAACAGCAGATTTTTTGGAATGGTCTATTGACCCATCTACTAATCTCCTACATAAAACACACCGCCGAGGTATTGCAGGCTAACGTGCGAGACTCAAAATCACTTCTCATTCCTTTCTTTATAGGTATGGATTTGTTAGAAGATTTGACACGGAAAAAAAGGATACAAGTTTTTTACAGTTTCAAAATTCTAGAAGATATCATGACTTCATGTAGTGTATTCAGCTGAAGTATGTCATCGCATTTATCGTATGCATAGATTTGCTAGGGACATCCCATCCACTGAAAATCACAATAAAGTGAAAATCTTCGTTCTAGACATTGACGAACAGTCGGAGAGCAAGGGGATTACCATCAGATAGAAGTACCTTACCGTACGCGGTAAAGTCTAAAGTAGTAATTTTTTGCGAGGGAGGGGGAATGGGGAGGGCGCAAAGCTCACGCTCGATTTTATTTATAGGGCGAAGAAAGATGTGCTTGAAAAGTTTCAAACTCTTCAGAAGAGAGCTGTTTCACCAATACTATAGATAAGCGAGCAAGCCTGTTTTCTGATTTTTGATTCCGTGAAAACTTTTGCGCACACATAATAGTAGGTGGTAGCTAGATAAATGTTTCAGGGAGTCTTTCATTGTGGTTTATATTCACGTATAGTAGTCAAATGTAAGAACTCTATGTCTTCAGGAACTCCTGATTGTCTCGGATTTTTAATTTCGCATAAACGGAGATATACTGGTTTTTTTATTGCATCATTTGTTCCAGCAGCATGTTTTCTGCGATCCATCTAGCTTTGACCCGATTCCTTTTCTATGTAAAATTTTAAAGTTTGGTTAGTGCACTCTCGCGGACAGTATATTATATCTTTCCACCTGTTTTTTTTAAGCTCAGGTCAAGATAAGTGCTCTATGAAATGTCTGTTTCTTTGTAATTCTATTGTAGTACATGCTCCTTTCTCTCCCATACATCAAAGAGCAAACTGTCAGAAATAGCCGAACAACACACATAAAGTTGATTATGCACACCATAAATTCATGAACAGTCTTGGCTACAAACTGTCACTTATCACAAGCTCTTTTTCGTCGCTATTCACCAATGGCTGCTTGGTATTTTTTATGACATCAAGCGATCAACGTCTCGCAGCAAAATAAAATCATTGACGGGCTGCGTAGCTCCTTGTCATGTTTGACTTGCTCTATACGTAAAGTGCAAGAGGTACTCAACTTCTTTTGGATTGTTAACATGGGTGTGTAGATTTTACGTCACTTCCTGTCGCAAAGTTGTCGGGAAAATATCTAAGTATATGTGAGTATATGTGAGTTGAATATGTGAGTTGTAACCTATCTTTCTTGTTTTTTGATCTCTCAAGCCTCACAGCTGAACAACTTCCAATCGCAATGTCACGACATTTTTCGTTCGAGATTATCACCCTCTCCTGCTTGCTAAAGTGGGAGTGGTGTTCTCTGCAAATCATTTTTCATTCTATGACATTCATAATTTGCTATACACTCAATAGAATTTGACATTATGCTGATCTAAACAGAAAGTTTGAATCATCATTTTTTTGCTTCCGTTCGTTACTCTTAACAATCTCTTAGCGAGTAAAATCCTTCTCACGCTTGCGCAATGCAACATGGATAAATTTCTTATTTTAGATTCTGTGTGTAAAAGAGTATTGAATATCCAGTCTTTTGTCATTTGCTTCTTTTTTTTCTGGACCATATATTGAAAATCCTTTACGATAAGATCTATATTTTACATATTTGAGCATCTAAAGTAGCGTATTCTTTTATGGTTAAAACTGTTTTGGTAGTGTAGCAATTTATGGAATAACATTCTAGATCTGTTAGTTAATAAATAAGTATAAAAATTTTTGCATGAAATTCTTTCTCCGTTGTGTCACAATAGAATTATGGTTCTAAAAGATAAGCACGATAATCTTTTGGTTTCGCAATAGAACAATTTGTTTGCGCTCATCAGCTACCCTTCATAAAGAAAAAAGCAGATTATTCTCGAAATGCATTGATTGCTAAATTCCTGTTATTTATACCGTACAGGTTGCCATTTTCACATTTTATTGTTATAAATTTCGCACATGCCTCCTGTCGCAGCATATATTAGGTTTTCAAAATTTTTACCATTTTTACCCTGAATGTCAGCAGTTTTCGAGAACTGGGGCACCTTCAAAGGGTACAAACACATGATCGTACTTCTGTATGTAAGAGCTATATGATCACGTGTGTGGAAGAAGCTCAGGACGTCTGGGGGCGGAGTTTGTCATTTTGCTCCATTCATTTTTTCTTCATTTCTAACCATGGAAACGTACAGAAAGTGTACCGTTGAATGTTCTTTTTTCCAGAAAAGTTCGTTTTTGACTGCTATCAGGTTTCAGCTAAAAACTTTGTGTGGAATATGATTTGTGAGGACCTTGATAGTCTTTTGTAGAGCTTGCTTTGCGCTGTCGAATGAGTACTTAATCCTCTTTATTTGAAGGAAAGTTACAAAGAGACGACGGTTGTAGCAAAAACGATAAAAAATTATGGGACACCGTAATACATGCTAATGTACTTAACGAAACATGCTCTGGTTCTCAAATGGAAGAAGTTAGTAGGTCAAACACGTTTTCCAAATTCTTTCGTCCAGCTTCTCTTTTCATTTTCCTCTTGATAACAGTATAAAGGTGAAATAGGATAACAACGCTGTTTTACAAGCTAACATATCAGGAAACCTGGGAATAAGTCTTTTGAAAGTCCTCGGAAATCGCGGTTTTCTCGGGAGTTTTGGAGATTTTGAATTTTATAACTGTGATAAGGGTCACGGAAAAGCCCCATAATGACAAAAATATGAGAGGCGAAATTTTGGCGTACGCTGCCTTTAGTACTTCGTACCCTGTGGATGCATGGGAATTTCGTGAGAAGATCAAAGTTTGTTTTTACACGGCTTTTCCCATCTCAGGGATTTTCTCATCATTACATTGGGTTAGTTCAAGCTTTGTATCATCGCAAAGTTCTTCTGTTGACTGCATGCCTTTAGAAAGCTTTTTTAAAATTAATTATCGTATTATCTACATTCTTGTTAAAGCTATATAAACAGCTATGCGCGTTTGGCCAAAATACCAAAATGTTTTTGAATGGAATTAAATGTGGGATTCGCACTCACCTCACGATGTATCTAGTCTGATTCAAATCAGGACAGTGCTCGTACTGGAAACTGCCGTTCATATTATCTAGTCCATAATGCCTATTTCTATATCACTCTAACAGCGAAAGTCTGCGCACAAAATTAGTGATTGATCAGTTGTTACCTTGAAAGAAATCGTCTTGTTTACTTGAAGAATTTAGAAACATGAAAAGAAGTTTTTTCAGAAATAAATAATCTAAGGCACATGTGCTCAACTAATTATTTCATTTGATTATGAGTTAGTAACGGCTGTTATAGCAAGTCTTTTTATAAATGCTTCATATCTTATGGACAATGTTTCATTATCCACCATAAACCCCAAGTCTAAAGACTGTTTTTGAGAGCACTGTTGCAAACCTGAAAGTATCCTTCTTCTGAGAAACCTTCACTCCTGCCTTCCTAATGAAATCATCATTTGTCTTCACTAGTTTTCAACAACAACTTTCGACTTTTTAATGACAAGAATCAAGGCTCTTTGATTTCGTAGTTTATTTTCATCTTCTGTGAACAGATTCTACACCACCCGTAAAAAACTCTGGTTAGAGTCGCTGTGATTGACGTTTGTTATGCTATAGTTACCATAGGTCGAGGGTAGAAGTGATTGAATCGAATTTCATTTCACTTCAGTATCGCTTGTGATCTGTCTGTGAGAATCATCACTCCAAATCTTTGTACATATAGCGAGGTGTCAATTGTCTCTTGCCTTTTCAACTCTCAAAGCCGCATATTTATAAGCTTTTGTGTCATCTGATGAAATTTGAGGGCTTTCTGTTATTCTCGGGTTTACGCTGATCTTGTGCTAGCATTTCGGAGTACGTGACCGCCTCGACTGTTTGTTGTGACTCGCATTGTTGTGCTGCCGTTCCAGAAGTGCGCCATCAAAGCATGTCGTCCGCCGAGGACTTCTCCTCATCGGATGACTTAACCATAACGAGCACAGAATCACATTACGCATCAGCACAAGAAGACTTGACGGACGCGCAGAGCGTCGTCTCGAAGGACTCCTTGAAAGAGCAGAGCGAGAAACCCTCAGAAGAATCCTCGAGTACGCAAGAGGGGACTCCTAAACCTTCTGAAGAATGTTCAACTACTCTCGAGGAAACTCCCAAACCTTCTGAAGAAGCTTCAACTACAGAAGGAACTCCGCAAATCGTTCACCCCAACGTTGAAAGGTCTTTGGCTGAAGACTTCTCTTCACGTCGCAGTCCAAAGGATTCACCTACGAGATGGACTGATATGTTTTCATCTAAAAGAATCAAGAAGAAGATTCATAAACTTGGCGATACCTGGATGGGGGTCCACATCCAGGTCTTACTAGAAACACCTACAAGTAGTCGATGCGTGTTTGTTATATGCTTTCCTTTTCCAGGAAGATGATCGTAATTGCACTGATGAAATGAATGTTGCTGCGCAAGAACTACGTTCATTGTCTTCCTCAGAGCTCAACGGTCGAGTTGAGCAAGTTTTGGTAAGATCCTTCAATGCTTTGGGTTCTCAACAAAAAAGCTTGTATTTCTCCGCTTTACAGAAAGACAGGAATGTCGATCAGAAGATGATTGACGCAATGCTTCATAGCATGGGTGACGAACGGAAGCGCTTGATACTCACACAACATATGAAAACTGACGTTATTTGTACAAAAAAGGTATGCGACAATTTTGGTGTGGAACGGAGGTCTAGATATAAAGTTAAAACGGGGCATGAAAGGGTGATGTGGTTCTAATATCCCGTTACGTCATTGCGAGTTTCTTTTTTGTTGAAGAATGTGAGTCAAAATTGTTGAGTCTTAGAATATAATCAATGACTAGAAATCGGTTAAAGGCCCGTCCACCCTAAATTGAAGGTCTTGAGCTTTTGGCAGCGTGTGATATCAGGGCCCCTATCAAGCCAGCAGTGGCGGCGTAAAATGTCGCTTCAGAAGCGAGCAAATCGCTCCATAACGGAGATGCACGAGGACCCCCAAACGACACCGCCTTCCCCCGCCATGCCCGCCCATCCGTGCGCGCCCAGCCAATCACCGTTCCGAAAAGCCGGCCTGCGGATTCTTCGCAACGGGGATTGTTGGTGTTTTCGCGGATTCTCGACTCCATTTTCGGAATCAGGGACATGAAAAGGCCCGAAACGAACAAAACATGGAAGTCGAGAATTTGGGTGGACGGTGCCTTTAAAGACAGTTACAGGAAGACCTAGGTTTTGGGTTCTACATGTGGCAGTAGAAGGCTACAACGAAGCCACTGCTCAATCGGCACTCATCTGATTTAATCATGGTCAAAAAAATTCGAATTTACTCTCGCCCACTACCGTACCGTATACAATTGAGTGTTAGCGTCCCGAGTACGGTGCTGGGCGAGACATAGTGTCGAACTTATTGATCAAGATTGCGTCACACGAGTTACGCTTGGGCACTGGCTTAGTGGGCTAATCAGTATGCATGTACAAGGTTCAAAACGCAATTTCGATGCGAAAAGTCCTCAGGATCAAGGAAGTGATTTTGTTTTTAGACTCCTTCGATGATGATAGACCAACTCGTCGAAGTTTTGGAGAGTGAGAACGTACTCGATAGAAAGAAGGATATTACCACACTGAAGGTTGTACTCACTGGTGAAGGCGTAAGATATCTGTCTGAGGTTTGTATCATGAGATTTGCTGAGGGGATAGTCCGTTGAGTTGGTCTGTTTTAGTTTGCGAAGTATGGCAACGAGCGAAGCGAAGAGAATGGTCTGCAACTGATCTGTAGGCTGTTCGGAGTGGTAAGCTTTTTTCAGTTTACAGTTATCTGTTTTGGTTGTTCCGCTGGAGACTTCATCGAAAATGAAGGCCATGGACCAATACTGTTAGGTTGTCCCAGAAGTCTTGCTCGTATTTTTTTTAACCGTATTTTTTGTATGAACCACTTTGATCAATTCAGCATATATCTAAGAAGTAAAAAGATTATGCGTTTTTTACAAATACTCAATAGAAAAAATAGTGTAAACGACAGCTGTTGAAAAGCACTAATATTGTATTTTCTCTGAATTTTTGATGCTAAAACTACAAAAAGGCCCAACAATCTAGGTTCATTTCAATTATGCCTTACGGCCTGCTCTTTTCCAACTGAATAAAGTCCGTGCTGATCGGATTTTTTACACTGAGGTTTTTTTCTCGACAAGTCAATCAATAGTGAATTGGATAGTAAAATGGAATCTATTGAACTGTATCTGGACGAATTTTCCATATTTTTTGATGCGAGACGTGAAAAAATTTAATATTAGCAAATTTACCTTGGTGTGAAGGAACGTAGTTATTATTCGGAATAATTTTTTTTATTACATTTGTAGTTACAAACATTTACTACCTCGAAATTTAGAAACGAAGTATCACAAAGATTTCGAGAGATCTTCAAGTTGGTGATTCTTTCCAAATGACAAGAATTTAGCGGAATTTGAAATTGTTGTGTTATCTCACTGTCGACTAGAATTTACTCATCTCTCTCTTACAGATCTTGCAACAACTGAAAAATGCTCAAGAAGACACTTCTGAATCTCGTGAACTTCTGTCGCTTCTTATGGAAGTCGTTCGATGCATACGAACGATCATCAACACATATGTGAGGATCACTAGGTCTTATATGAGGTCTCATTGAGAATTAACATGATTACAGCCTGGATTGGAACTTGTGCTCCAACGGGATTCACGTGTGATCAGTCGATTGATAGAAGGCCTCTGCGTGGTGAATAGAAGAAAAGCCAAAGAAACAGAGGAGACTGAAGCGATTCGAGCCTTACGAGCAGAGACTGTGAAAATTCTCGCATCTGTGGGTATGGTGAACCAAGAATCCACAAAGAATATTGAGATGGAAATGACCGGGTGAGAGACCTTGCAGAATTGTTTGAGTCATTGATTACTGAATCTGTTATAGAGCTCAGAAGATAATGAAGGAACTTACCTTATTGGCTGGAAAGTTTAAACAGCCGCGATTCAAGCCGATCTTGGATTGCTTACGATACTGCAAAGAATCAGATGTGGATCATGTTGTGAGTCCTATTCAGCAGTATCTGCTTGACTTCTTTCTATAAAATTTCCACCTTTTCTTGTGAATTTTTTCGTCCTCTCTTTTTATTTGTTTTTGTAAATCACCTCCTTTCCAGTACCGTATTCTGATTACGGTAAACTTGCTCATACACAGTAGTGACCGAGAGTTGAGTGAGGATCAGTCATGGCAAGTTCGAATGGCTTTGCGATCTGAGTTGATGAGGGATGGTTTTGGCAAGTACATCAATGTGAGTGGCTGGAAATACTATGCATGTTATTGTTTGCCATTTCTGTTTTTTCTTGCAGACTGTTGTTATGCTCTCAAAATCGGATGAGCGAATCCGTGAAGTGTACAGTGCATTCACATCCATTCAAGATGATGACTTTAATGAGCTCGTTTCACGATTTGAAACATTGTAAGATTTTTTAAGGCTTATTTGTGTGATTTTCTATTTGATACACATTCTGAACCTTGATATTTAGACGTGGCGAATATGAAACGCTTGGAGGATGTTTTGAGCTTTTGGCTTCTACAACTGCTAATACGGCAGTAGAGCCAGTTCTTTTGAGCATCATGCAACATCTTATGATCATACCTGAGGATGTCTCAGTCAGGTGAGAGTACTGTACTTAGCATTTGTTGCATACTGCATATGCTAAAAAAGTTCGCATTTCGAAAAAGAATTTTCCCAGCAGGCAAGTTGTCGATTTAGAGGTGCTAGTAGCAATGGACCAGCTCTCGAAAATCTTTCTAAACACCTTTTTTAAGACTTTTGATTTGAAATAACTTTCGGCACCAGGTGCGAGTAGCGTTGTTAGCAGACTCAGTTGACTTACGAAATACCAAAACAGGACCCCATATAACAGTGTGTTCATCCAAATTGCCCGTTATTGGTATCCAAATTGAAACCTCTGGTTCAACGCTGTGATATTCATGGAGGTTCGAAAAATTGTGTTTTTTGCAGAGGATAGTGCAGTTGTAGAAATGCACACTTCAAGACAATTTTGGATTACGTTAATTAGCAAAATATACAGTTCTCATTCTTCACTTTCTCGCGAATTTTTCGTAGTTGTCAGCATGCAAATTCACAACAGATTGTACATGTTTCCGGATGAGTAAAAGCATGCGATCAAGCCATCATTTCAAGAGGGATTAGGCTATGTATTGAGTTGATGCAAATTAATCCATGTTCCTTATCCTGAAGCGCAAAGAAGTTTAAAGGTACGAACATACCCTTCAATAAGGCAAAGTGAGTCTACAAGATGGGATTCAATCAATCTCAGAAAGTGTGGTACACGGAAAGTTAGGAAAAGAAATTCAAGATTTTTTTCAAATGCCCAAACACCAAATTACTGTGCAAAAAATTCTCAGATCTCTAACTTGCTCAAAAAAAGTTACTTGTCGCATTATCTATGCATACGTACTTGTGTATTTTTTCCATGACTAGAAGTGATGTGAGAAAATAAAACTTGGCATGCTCTAGCAAAAGCAATGCTCGGTTGGCCCGACATGGCTAGTTCCATACTACACCTTTGGATGAATTTTCAGCCTTCTTCGAGCGCTAGCACTATCGAGAAATGACAAACTTGACATAAAAGAGGTGTATAGATGCGGGTCCAAGTTTGAGGCTCGCAAGATTCTTTCAGACGGAGTTCTGATTTTTGGTGGCCAAAATTTTTTGAATTTTTTTTAAACTTCAGGTAGATCAAACTTCTTGCGATTTTGCATGTGTCATCGTAGAGCTTGCTTTATTTATCGAGTGATATGTTTCCTAATTTTTTATATCCACATTGCGGTAATTTCGCTTCAAATTAATAGCAGTGGCTGTCGGAGAAACATGGGTAGTTATATAAGGGGGGAGGGGGGGGGGGGGCATCCGCGACAGAACATCTTATCGAATGCTAACAGCACTGGGATGCTTTCCAACAAATTGGCAATTTTATAGTTTCAATTATTGAAAAAGGGGCGTGGCGGTAGTCACGCCTTTCAGTTATCTACAAGAAAACAAGCCACTTGCACCACTTATAACTCATAGTTATGTAGGCTCACGGTCGAAACGGTTCCACGGAGCCTTGTTGACTGTCATGTTGAATTCCATTGCGAAATGGTTGTGAGTGCAAACATCCCACAAATTTCTTTTTTCCTTCTTGTTAATTTCCATCCAAGCAGTTCGAAAATCTCATGTTTAGGCTTTCGTATTTTCGCCTCATCGAAAGTTGCGTGAATGAGATTGTACTACACAAAAATGGAGTTGATCCGGACTTTGATTCGGTGTTCCACTTTGAAACACCCATCAGCGAGATTATTGGTAAGTCCATTGTATCAGTATAGTCAACTCATACCATGTTTTGCAGATCAGCTACAAGATGCCGAGTTTTCGCGAAAACTTGAGCAAGCTGTGCAAGCGAAGCAAGAAGCTGTTGCCAAACAAATGCAGTACTGGAAGAAACTGGACGAGTTTCGCAATGAGGCTACGCTTTTGAGAAAACACGTAAGAGCAATTCAGCTTACTCATGGTTAATGACGTTTTCCAGTCACCTACTTACAGATAGATAACCCCAAGGAACCGATTCCACCTGCAACCGTTTGCACTCTTCAACAACCAGTCGAGCAAGCTCTTCCATCTACCAGCCGACTCCAACCTGCTGAAAATGGTTTACCACCTGTCACAGGAGGTCCTCCTCCTCCACCACCACCTCCTGGAGCTGCTCGAATCACAGGAGGTCCTCCACCACCTCCACCTCCTCCACCTGGATGTAAGCTCTCTTGAGTGCTCGATTTTATCATATCTTAGAAAAGATGTGCTTCTTTATATTCGCATGGTATTTTCAGTGGGTGGTCCCCCTCCTCCGCCCCCTCCTCCGAATCTTTTGCGGAGTGGCGGTGGTCCGCCTCCACCTCCACCACTCGGCGGACTCTCTGCACCACCTGCTCAACCGGCAATCCCTGAGTTCCTTCCAGCCAAGAAGAAACGAGTAGTCGATGTGCCAATGCGAAAATTCCCATGGACTGGCAGTGCCGTGCGTTTACTAACGGTATAAACCCCTGCGCATTCTTCAAAGTGCAAAAATTGCAGATCAATCCTCGAAGTTTGAATCGAGATTGCTTTTGGGCGAGCACATCAGAAGAAAATCTAGTCAGCGAATCAGTTTTGGAGGAGTTGAAGGTACCGTCTTTCGTCTATTACTACTCAAACTCTATAGTTTTGCTCTGAATATAAGTTCTTGAGCTGCTTGAAAATGAACTTATTTAGGAGAGATTCGCAACCTCAAGGACTGGTTCAAAATCTACTGACACTCTCAAAAGCACCAAACCGCCAAAGAAAGTGAAGCAACCACAGATTGTGAAGGATGAGAAGATACTACAAGCCCTTGGTATGCTTTGACTGATTTAGAGCGAGATCTGAGCTCTTCTTTTAGCCATTCTGCAAGGGTCAGTGAAGCTGTCACAAAAGCAATGGCGGAAGGGTTTGCTACAGGTGAGTTTTGACTCAAAAATCTCTTCTTAGTTTTTTTTCTTCAAATTCTTTTATCGTCTCTCTTAACAGCATGGAATTCAGATCGATGACTCATTGCTATCTGCTAACACTCTGCAGCAGCTGAGGACGGCGCTACCACCGTTAGACGTCATCAAAAAGCTTTCTGAAGTGGAACCGTCTGTATTACAAGAAATGCCAGAGGGAGAGCAGGTGTGCATCTTGGCATTGCTTTCCTGAAAAACCTAAAATATCTTCTCTCAAACCGAATGCACTATGAAAAGGTTTTTTATTCAGTTCTTGGCGTCACTAGCATCCATCAAAGCTCTACCACTGCGGCTTGACCTCATCATCTTCAAACTTCGGTTTCAGGAAATCTTGAATGATCTTAAGCCGGTAAGTAATTGCTATCTACTTCCTTATATAAGATAAATTTCTCGTGATATTTTGCAAGGAGATATTTGTAGTTATTTATCAAAATTTACTATAGGGTATCTCTTGTGTTATGGAAGCTTGTGATGAAATTCGGCGATCGCATGGCTTCAAAACGTTCCTTGAACTTGCCCTGCTGTTCGGAAACTTCATGGGCCAATCATCAAAGACTTATAAAGACACATTTGCCTTTGAGATGAATGTGCTCACGAAAGTAAGTAATGCTTATTCACCATGTAATCAATAGATTGAAGGTCTTATCTAGTTGATGGACACGAAGGATATCGACAATAAATACACGCTTCTACACTATATGGTTGACTCTATGCGTAAATGTGATCCGAAGCATTGCAGGTAATCTATCATCTTTAAAATGTTTGGTGTTGTTCGTTTTGGTGATTGGTCTAGTATCGAACGAATGGATCTATTCAATAATTATGTGCAGTAAAGTGTGCATTCCATTATGACAGTTTTAACAAATGATGTAGAAGTTAGTCATATTACATCATGCGGGAAAATTAAATATGTACTTGGGCCAATGTTTGTTAAAATTGATAGGCTGCATCAACCGGTTTTTGTTAAATAACTTTTGTTTGAGGGAAAGTAATGAGTGCTCTGCAAGCTGCTCTGCAGATTTTATTGCTTGATTGGGAGCATTAGTTGAGTTAGGCTCAACTTTTGCGAATGAGTCAGTCACCATTCCAAAATCAACAATTCAGTGACATGCACGAGCTTCGTACAAGTAGTGATAAAGATGCGGAAGCAGTGTGTCTCTGCAAAAATTTTGGAAAAGTAATTAGAAGTCTCTTAATCATCTGAGCCTTCGAAGCTTAACGCCGTGGGCATACCTCATGCGCTGCCAGATGTCCTAAAATCCTATACCCAAATGCACAGCATGTATAACTTTCGTCAGTTGATAAAATGCCTTATCTTTGTACATTTAAAACCCCTTACGATGTTATTACTTGAGAACCACTGGAATATTGCATCTCGTCGCGAATGAAATCGTGTGGGGTATGCCTAGGGCCTAAGCATGTAGCGGGAAGAGCAAGAATAACCCTACAAAGGTGTAGAGGCCGTTTCAATTTGTCTCATAATGCTAACATAACATATTTAGTTTCTGATTCGTGATCCTTTTTTTGTGGTGAGATAAGGGCGAGGATGGGGGGGGGGGGGACAGTTCTGACAAAATCTTGACCAATATTTGCCGTTTGCATATAAAAATTTCTGTAGATTTGCTCAAGAAGATTTCTACCATTGTGTTGCGGCGGCGCGAGTGAATGCGGATGAGCTCGATAAGGGTGTAGCAGCACTACGGCAGAATGTCACTAAGGTAGTTCATGATTTTCTTGCATAATTCTGTTTGGCTATTTTGTGTATGAAGTATCTTATTCTAGCTGGATAACTGCCTGAAAACCTATCAAAAGCAGTCCGACGATGACGCTTTTGTTGAAATAATGGGTCCGTTCTTGGCAAAAGCTCAGAGTGAATTAGATATCATAACCACGGTTAGTGCGTGATTATTTTGATTTTTATCAGGAACTGGACCTAATTTTTTCAGCTGCACGGCAAGATGAAATGCGATTGGTCCAATTTTGCCAAATACTACGCATTTGACACGAAGAAGTATCCTATGGAGCAATTCTTTACAGACATGAAGTTGTTCAAAGAGCAGTATGAGGTTTGGTCTAATTTTCTTTCTTGGAAAATTCTGCTCGGATTATTTTGCTTATTTAGGGAGTCTATCGGGAGTTGGAGATGGAGAGGTTGAGAGCTGAGAAGGAGCATGAAGACTCGAAAACTAAGAAGAAGAGAGCGCCTCCTCCTGCAAAAGAGCAGCCGGCACGAGTCAGCATTGGTGCCAGTCGACTCCAGACGGGTTCGTTATATAGCTGGCATTATTATTTCTACGTTTTGATGGTGATCCATTTTTGGTTTCAAAATTCTTGAACTTTCAGCTGTTGATTCTCCTGGTGTACTAGATGAGCTTGACAAGATGATGGCCGGTGGAGGGCTAGCGAAACTTCTTCAAGGTCCCAGAACACCGCGGAACGCAGGGCGGACGAAAACAGGTAGGCATTATTTTTTGGATCTCCTAATTTTATCTGTCATGTTTACATTTCTTCTTTGTTCGCATTAGGTTTCACTCCTTCAGTAATCAACCATTTTTGTGAGCGTAGAAAGCATTTTAAGTCGCTTTCTGCCTTTATCATTTCGTTGTGTTTGCCCACAGACTTTTAGTTCTTGCCCCTTTTAGGAAGGGCAGCTTTGCAACGACAGCGGTCTAGAGGGGCCGATTTTCTTCTTCGTGAAGCTCTTGAGAATGGCAGTGTCAGCGCCCATGCTCCGCGAGCACCGTTATCGGTCATAGCACCAGCACCTGAGAAAGTGCGAATACGTCGGAAAGGTGCTCCAACAGTAGAGGTCTGTTTTGTTCTTCTTAGTTCAACTTCGGATCTTTTTTTGTTTTGCTTTGGACAAGCCCAGGGTTTTGAGTTGGGCAGTTTGTTAGCTCATCGACCTTATTGATAGGATCGGTAAAAGGACCAACCATTTCAAAAGATTAGTTAACAGTTTAACAAAGACATCCACTTATCATTTATAATTAGGAACCTTCTGACTAGCACTATTATTGATTTTGGACTTCTTTCACAGCAGAATGATTGACCTATTTTTCTCCAAATTACTTTTTTCAATTTTCGGACGTGGATGCGCAAAGTACCCTTTGATTCAACTGGCGTGGCGGCTGGAAGGCGGGGCTTCGTGACCTAATCAAGGCTAGGTAATGATCAGGAAGTACGCGCGCGGGAGAGACGCAGACTGCGTAGCAGGCGCGAGCGGCCTTGATTAGGTCACAAACCCTAGCTTCCAGCCGACAAGCCAATTGAATCCCAAGGGTTAAGAGCAACTGTTCTTTTGATAGCAGTATAATATTGACTATTCGAGGGTAAAATTATTGAAGTTGCTGAGAGCACCGTCAATGATGATTGGATTCAATTTTGCTATTGCGTCACTATACTGCATTCTAAAATTGATGGTGGCAGTTGCCACTGCAGGCCCGAAAGTGTTGAAATTTGTTTATTGAAATTATTAAAAATGTTTTATTGGAAGCTAATATAAGCGGCAGTACCTCACCCATAACAACAAAGTCTGAAGTGCAATGATGAAAAGCGAGAATGACAGCGCAGATCGGAAGCTAAAGAGGCCACAGTTTCACTGGAGCACATTTTTCAACTAATGCTGGGCGGTAAAGATCTGGGGAGGAAACAGCATTTTATATCGTAGCTGCTATTAGTTGTAACTTTGTTTGTCTCACCAATCTTGGAAATCCATCACTTAAAAGCGGTCTCGGTAAGTCGTCCTCTAATATTGTGGTTTTGAAATTGTCAGATATTATGAATACACGAACATACAATTGTTGCCAGTCTTTTTTGGATCATTTTTAGGCATTTGTGGGTGTATCTCTGTTTTTTCACAAGAGCGTTCCAGGCCTAAAATTGTTCGCCCATTTTGGTTATGTTTTAAATATCTTACCTAGTTTACATGTGTAAATCTCATGCTGGGATAGAAATTCGCCTATTATGTTTTTATCTCAGTTTGCAGATTTTCCATTCGCTCATATGCTCCTTTATGTTTTCCAAATAACGATTCTCTGATTTTCTTCAATACATAAAATGCTTGAGCTTTGACCTTTTTTACTGCCCAGTAATATGAAATCATTCTCTTCCCATTCAGGTAACACTAAGGCCTGCTGAAACCTCACCAGGTCATAAGGAAAACAACGGATCACCTACGACAGATGAACTGTTAGCACGGCTGCAACAGTATTGATAATAAATACACAGCTTTGCGTGTTCGAATGTTCAAAGCACAGTCTTTTGAGGCTTTGCGGCACTTTAGTCTCTGATGATTGATCAAAGGCATAATATGTTGTTGTAAGATTGTTGCGATTCACTTCTGTTAGGATTGCCTTGTACTCTGTGATTGTTTTCGACAACTCACTTGCCGTTTTCACACTCTTGTAAAATTCTAAGCGGGATTCTGTGTTTCGTTTTGTAGATAGAGTCTAGTCTATGTCCTAATCGGGTCGTAAGGAAGCATGTAGTGTGCCACCTCTGCAGCATGTCTCTGATGTCGCATATCTCGTTTATCGTTTGGTTTGATTGTCGTATAATGTTGAATAAATTAGTAATATTAAGAGATGAGCACAAGTTGTGGATGATTAATAATTTTGTTAATAAATCTTTGGTACATTAGCTTACATTGACAATCTAAGATTGGAAGGATAATTGTGTTGAGTGTTTAAATCGGCAGCGACACTTCCAGAAAGCTTTTGCCGATCATTTTGATGAAAAAAGCATGAATATTCCTCCAGTAAAAAAATGATCTGGAGAAATATGGTGTTTAGTCAAATTGCTGAAGTCAGAACTTACATTCCTCTAAGCTTCAATATGCGAAGTGGTCTGCTGCCACGAAAAACCAGAAATTTTTATCATCTTGTTGCAACGTTCGAAAAAAAGGGTAGAAGAAAACGAGTGCAGCATCTTCAGAAAAAACCAGTTCTTCTCCAAGTGTTCTTAAAATACACCTAGAGATGTATGATGTTGCTAAGATTTCCACGCCGCTCTCGGGCAGCGTACCTCTTCATAAAAGGCACTATCTCTCCTTAGCGGTGAAATTTTGTCCATGAAAAGTCTCTCACCTCTCGTACTACCTTCATTCGTCAGTCTACCATACCATCGTGCCAGACGGATTGCGTCAGTCTTACGCTCTGCCCAACTTATCAGCTGTAACAACTTGTGATGAGAAATTGTCGAAGCCGGTCTATTTTATGAGTTTGATAGGGTAGCAGTGACAAGCGTATCGAACGCTTGAGAACCTTTCAATGGAATTTTGCTTGCAAAGGAACTTTATAAATAGTCAGTTGCGTTTATTACTAAAAGAATGTGAGCTTGCATTTGCGTTAGAGGAAATCTCATAACTTCAATGGCAGGTTGTCCGAAGAGCTTAAAACTTGGACTGAGTCACAAATTTTGAGCAATTTTCAAGAACAAGTTGCTGCGGCGCTACAGGATTACAGACATGATGCTGAATTTTGGTGTAATCAAACAGAATGTAGGAGCAGGACGGACGTCAAAATCATTTGAAGCATATTTATAGTTCTTAGAGTCTATAATACTCCTTATTTGGTTGAGTTTCCAGTCACTGATCTGCAGTAAATACAGCATAGCGGTGTAGAGTAAGCACTACCCTCAATTTGAGCTTGATATAATCAATGGTAAAAGGGAGCGAAAAATGCTTAACCGTGCGGTGCATCAGTTATGTAACTCGGTACTATCAGATCGTACAGGATTTTCCAAAATGTGCCTACTGTTTGATTCAATAATTGTCATGAAGTCTTTCCGTACGCAATAGGTACCATTTGGTAGAGCTGGCTTGAAATTAAATACAGTATAAGGCGAATCACCGATTCGTACTGAAGATTACGGTGAATTTTGTTTTAGCTTTTGAGTCGTTGGAGGCCATATTTGACCTTTGTAAGGAAATCGAATTAGCTGAAAACTCTTACACTGGGCTAATCAGAGTTGTTGAGTCCAAATATGAAACCACCACTTCGGTGTAATGCTTCCTCGCTAAATTATGCCGGATATACCGTCATGACCGGTTTCTCGATATTTCTCGAAACTTGAATATGTCATTTGAAAAGCTTCTAAAGCCAGTGAAAAATTGCTAACGAAATCGGAATGCGTGAAAACGTTGTCACACAGTTTTCTAATTTTTTTTTCGAACGGCCAATTTCACAGGAAAGTTGCAGTGCAGTGGCAATACGAGAGTGCTTTGATTTTATTTCCAGTAATCAAAATAGGCTGTACATAGTGACAATAAGTGAACAAAAAAACGATGAAGAAATGCTTTCAAAATTCCATAAAAGAAAGACACAACTATTTCGAATGAGAATTTCCGACTAATGCGCAAATCGTATCTTCTCTTTCTCTCACTGTCACATCATATAACTTTGATTAGCAATCAGTAGTTAGCACTTGCACTTGTGGTATGAAAAAATGTTTGCAATACAACTCAGTCATCACCAGAATCACTCATATTAGATGGTTTTTGGGTTCTTTTGTTATGATTAGAAGTGAAGAAGTATTGGAAATAGTCTCAAAGAAGTTCAAATTAGAGGGTGCCAAACCCTATCGTTTGAGACTTCGAGCTGCATTTTTGCCTACAGACCATATAGGATGTCCATTTCATCATCTACTTGTTACCAGCATGATTTGTAAGCATTTGCGCTTGTCAGCGATCCGCGCGATTCGCATTTCGATGACACCGGGCTATCACGTGTGGAAGTGCCGCCTATCAGCGTCGGCGCTGCGATCTCTGTTCACGCCGTCTTCCAGGTCAACAGTAGCGCTTCCGAATGGTCAGTGCAGTACCAGCCAACTTGCTCGGTTTCTTGATTCAAGCACTCGTTTCAGACTGCCGACGGGCTCAACAGCGGCGCATTTGTGTGTTTCGATCACATTCGATTCATTGTTGGTAACGCTAAACAGGTGGGTTGGTCAAGAAAGTAGTTTATGGATCATCGGTTAGGTAAACGCATGTGCAGTCCTTTTTGTCTGATTGATTTCTTCTCAGGCAGTTTGAAATCATTACAACCCATTTTAAGAAAGATATCCTTAGTAAATCCATAAGTCGGTAGTTTTTATGAAAACACTTCGCGTTCGCATGAGTATAGAAGTGAAAAATTTGTCTTATGACTTGTTAACAAATTAGCGAAGTGAGTAGTAGTATGTCTTCTCGTCAGACTTTATGCTCGTTCCGTTTCTTCCTTTAAATAGAGTGGTTCGATTGTTAACTACTGCTCCTTTTCCGAATTTTCAAGTCTATCTAATTGCCAGTTGTTTCATTGCTCTTTCACTGTCAAATTTTTTTCGCTCTATTCATTCCTGCAGTTTCCCTTTTTCTCCATCTCTTCACACCGATATCGAATCGTTGGTATAGCTCGCTGTGTTCTGATTGAGAAAAGAATCCATTTGAGGTTTCGACTTTACTAATCCGCGAGGAATATTCTTTTCTGAGTTTTGATTATCTATTTGATTCTTTACTGTAGCTAACTTTGTGAGCACGTTACGTAGAATCTATGATTTGGACAAAGGAAGGTGGTTTTGGACGCTCCCTGCCCCGAAGTGTATGTGTGCAAAGTTTGGCCCCGGGCGGAGCCGGGTTTGCCATCTAGTGAGTGAATAACAAGATTTGATTCCGATCATCGGTAACTTAACGTTTGAATAGATTCATACTAGATTTAAGAAAACTACCCTCGTCTTTTTGCTCTATCCCGTAATATATAGCTTGCCGACGTTTTTCACGATGTTTCATGCATTGAGAATTTGTCGCCCCTTGTGCTATTCAAATTATCGAAAGCAAAAGTTAGATGCAACTTCTACAAAGCTAAAAAAAATCTGCCTCGAAAACTTACATGGCTCCTTTGGTCTAGGGCTAGTCCTACATTATATCGTTTATTTTAGGCAGCCTACTGGTACTGCGCTAATTTTGGTTTTGAACCCTTCGCTTATCGAGGTTTGGAAACAGGAAGCCGTCAAGTCGCTCAACATGCCGTAAGACAAAACAAGGTACTCAAATGTTTATTGGGACCATGAACGCAAAAAGAAACTAATTTTGCAGATTGTATTCGTATTCGAGTCTGCTCTGTTGCCAAATAACAAAGAAATTGGCGATCACCTAGTGAAGCATGGTGATGGCGTAAAGGATGTTTGCTTTGAGGTTTGTAAACTTTCGAAACACCCAAATTTGGCTAAAGTATCAGCATTTAGGTGGATGATGTCGCCGCTATCATGGAGCACGCAAAAAGCGTTGGTGCTGAAGTTGTGAAGGATGTGACGGAGGAGTCTGACGAACATGGAACCATCAAATACGCTGTTGTGAAAACGGTAAGCAGTTTTATGTTCGTTTTTGAACCATGATGATCGCCTAACATGCATTTTAGTACGGTGACACAGTCCACACTCTTCTGGAGAGAAAGAAGTACAAAGGACTATTCCTACCCGGATTCAAACCTCACCCTTCAAGCAAAGTTTTCTTTCAAAGTCTGCCAAGGGTGAGCCAAGCAGTTTTATGTGGCTTCGTTGCAAGTTTTTCCCAAAGTGTAAACGTTTCCTTTGCAGGCTGGGCTAAATTTCGTTGATCACTGCGTGGGCAATCAACCGGATCTTGAAATGAACTCTGCTGTGGAATGGTATGAGAAAGTGCTGTGCTTCCATCGGTGTGTCCCTTTTGCAAGTGCAAACCTTTTGCAAGTTTTGGTAGAGGAAAAAACATCCTAAGGTTTTCTGCAGCAAGAAATGAAGTTTAACGGAACATGCTGGTATGAGAGTGTCTTCGGTAAATACTCAAATTTTGCTCATTTTTGTTCACCTCTGGGGGATTGAAGGGGACGGTTGTAAGAGAAAATCTTTGGACATACTTTGACCAACGTCCTCATTATGAAAATGACCAAGCTCTGGCCGAGATAGAAAACTCAGAATAAAAAAATGAACTAACAAGAAAAGGATACCCGGCGACCCCGGCCATTTGGAATGCGATGTATACCGCAAGATGCACCTCGGAACGCTGATTCTAAATCTGTGCTCGATATCTGCGAAACAATTTTGTGAAGGAAGTTATGAACTTTTTTTTGCAGAAAATTTGCGTACTTTTAGGTGGTTAAAATCACCCAATTTGATCTATTTCACCGTCTGAAGCTATTGAGGAGAGTCTTGTAAGGTGTAACATTGTATTTACACCTATCTAAATCATATTTAGCATTTGAAGAGGAAAGCAAAATCTCTGTTATCGATTTTCACCCTCCGCAGAAGTGCAATTCATTTTTGAAAAAATAAATATAACTCCATCCATGTTCTTGTTTCGCAGATATGGAAACCAGTAATCGAACCAGCATTAGAAGGCGCATTTTTTGATATACAAACCATTATGAATGGCCGGGGTCACCAAGTATCTCCGTCTTAAGATATGAAATCAAAACCGGATATAACAAAAAATAAAAATGTGCTTTCAGAAAATCTATAGAGCATGTCAAGATTAGTCAGTAGTGAAACTTGATTTCTATATTATACAAATGGCGTTACCCTTGACCTCTTTTCACTGTCCGTAAGAATTAGGGAATAGTAATTATTTATTAGGTTGATGCAAAATGGCCGATTTCAAGAGCCTTTCTTCAGGGCAAATTTTTTCCATCAGAATATCTTCTTTGAAGTAGATATGGCATATCAATAAGAAGCTGTTCTCATGCTCCATTCAAAGGTGATTGAAGCGGGCTTCCATCCTCATCTGTTATAAGGTTACTGAGCTTCAAATAACCGCATCCAAATTCAGAATTTCATTGCATTCACTTTTCTGGCCAGAATTCAAAAGCGCATTAACGGCGCTTCCTCAGAAATTTTGTTATTGTATGTAATAGAAATTATCTACATTATGCATACTTGACTGTATTTTCTGAAGTTATCCAGACTGAGATATCGGCGCCTCAATTTGGGTACACGTTGCGGTCATTTTATGACCCATAAATTTATTTTGAAGAAGTCTGTCGCCGAGACTTTGCTTTGTAATTCTGTAAGCATAATGTTAGTGCACCCTAATAGCTGTTTCTGCAAAAACATCCAACTGTTCAGTACGCAGAAATTCGGAAAAATCTATATTTGGGGTTTTGAGACATATTGAAAAGATGTTGAAAAACTGACAATTTCTAAATTTTAATTTTTCTTTCCGCAAATTTTTTTCTCCAAACCTTTTTCATCAAAGTTTGTACGAATGGCTTGCGGCTACAAGATAGGCCACTTTTCATTCATAATAACAAATTTTAAAGAAAGTTATAAATTGTCAAAAACAAGGTGAAAACCTTTTTTGTCTTTCAGTCCATATTTTTTCCCGTTTCTGTTGTGAGTATAAGTGAGTGTGCGCTGTATTGCGAAAGGTTTGCTGCTTCTGGTGGTCTTGACCGCACTCAGAAACGTGGATTTTTCAGAAAAAGTCAAAGTGAGAATTCGCAAAACGGGCATTATTTTTGCATCAATCTAATAGTTTGCACAGTCCATGTTCGTTCCTATTTGCAGATTCTGGTCAGTAGATGACTCTATGATCCACACTGAGTACTCCGCTCTGCGCTCCATTGTCGTCACTAATCACGAAGAAACCATCAAAATGCCCATAAATGAGCCAGCAATGGGAAAGAAGGCAGTCTCGCAAATTCAGGTGCACATTCCTCCCCTAAAAACTTTTTTTGGACCGGAACAAAGTTCTTTCAGGAATACGTCGACTACTACGGCGGCGCAGGAGTTCAGCACATAGCTCTAAACACGAGCGACATCATCAGTGCCATTGAAGCACTTCGAGCTCGAGGCGTAGAGTTCTTGACCATTCCGAAGTCCTACTACGATAATTTGCGTACGAGATTGAGCAAAAGCGGCACAAAGGTCGGCTATCTAACATAGCCTTCCATTCGAGAGTAATTGAATTTTAGATCACCGAGGACATGAATCGTCTGCAAAAACTGCACATTTTGGTCGATTTTGATGAAAATGGCTATCTCCTACAGATTTTCAGTAAACCATGTGAAGACCGACCAACTCTTTTCATAGAAGTTATACAACGGCATAATCATCAGGTGAATTACACAAGCAAATACGTTATAATTTGTAAAAACCTGCTCAGTAAACTATTTCTCAGTAAATGTTCAAAAAATTTTTTGCAGGGCTTCGGCGCCGGGAACTTCAAAGCTTTGTTCGAGTCTATAGAATTGGAGCAGAACGAGCGTGGCAACTTATTCTATGAAGATGTCGCAACTGGTGGAAAGAGAATCTAGAATCTCAACTGCCTTATACCGAAAATAAACATGATTCAAATTAATCTACATAGCAACTGTCAAAGTTTTGCTTTTTGAAAATATGAAATCATTGGTTGATGTAAAATGAGCATTTCGCGAACTTAGAATGATTTGGCCCAAGAATCGATCTGTTTGTATAGTCTCAAAGTGTGGTTTCTGGTACGTCTTCTGACTACACTATTTCTAAACTTTCGAATCATCTCTGTGCTAGATTTTTGTATCAGCACCGTGAAATTCAGGAATTGAGTCTGACAAGCAGAAAAATGCGATCAACATATGAGAAAGCCACTATTATCCGATTGAACACCAGGAAAAAATATAAGTTCGTCGTTTTTTTTAATAATACGAAGCTGATCAAAAGCAACGTATTTATCCGCTCATCTCAACGAGTGAAAATTCTCATCCTGAACAATTTCGAATTTCGTTCACTTTTTCTAAGAGCCAAAAAAATAACGCAAGTTCCTCTTGGACCTGACCTCACTCTTTCAGTGGGACTTTTTCGCTTTCGCTCCCGCTACGGCATAACACCTTGACCAGCACAAAATTTTGGGATATTTACTAGGTTGCTGAAAAATTGGGTTCAAAAAACAATTTTGTGAAACATATCGGCAAGCAGTGGAGCTCCATGAATCTAGGTTGAAATGAATAATACTACATTGAAGCTAGTAATTTATGACGGGCAAAGAACTGCCGCATGACTTCTATGAATTGTGATGGAGATTTCAGATTTCATACTTTGGTAGTCACCTTCTTAGCATGTTTCGGACCGCGAAATCGCGCGCGGCGAAAAAGAGTGCACTTTCAGCCATTGGCCAATAAAGGGACCTTATTTCATAGACTGTGTGCTACATCTGTAATCAGCTTGTCAGACAAGTTCCCTTCCCAAGGTTTTGAATAGATTCGATGTGTTTGAATTTTGTCGCTTGTGAAGTCTAATAGTATCCAAAAGTATCTATGTTGTAGAGGGTACACATCAGTACCGAAACTACGGTTTTTCTCATTGATAACAAAGCAAAGAGAAGTTGCGACGTCGCACGCGTCGTTCGCGTTGCCGCGCTTCGTTGCAACTCCTGTTCGATTTGTGCTCATATCTACTAAACAAATATCGGCGGCACAACTCTACAGAGTCACTTGGTGAGTAGAAGCTTAGGCCTTTGACTTGATAACCTTGGACTAAAAGAAAACCTCCTGTAAATGTCAGGAAGATCCTTCACAGCAGCGTGCTGCGCCATGTGCAGCACCGGTCCGAAACGTGTTAACAAGGAATCCAAAAGAACTTATCACTACCTCTGAAACAGCTCCGCGTGTTTGTTTCTGTATCTTTATTTGATTTCATGGTTTTTGTCACACTAGGGATGATTCTTGGAAGCCCAAAAGACTCTTATTTCATATCTCAGAGCCTATCATATGGGTACGTCTATCCCTTTATGATCCGAATAGGACACGCTTGCGACATATTGGTCCCAAAACTTTCGAGCAAATATGTGTGTATCCGTGTCTCACCAAGCAATCGGATATATTGTTAGGAAATTTATCTGCAAATTTGAGCTACAGTACTAGCATGTTGACTTATCATAAGCCCAGCCTGGAAAAGGCCAAAACAAGCAAGAACCGCAATTATTCCATCTGAGAGACATGACTGAGGTGTACATAGGCGTCAATGACGTTGACGCCGGCTTGTGCCTAATTCGCGAAGTGGTCGGTTACAGCCTTTGATGCCATGTGTTAATTTGTCGTAGCGGGCCAGAGATTTGTCGGTTCACGTATTATATTGCTTAATAGCCCTGTCTGCACTTACAGAATCATATAGTTTTTTTTGCTAGTTCATTTTGAGCGTAACTGTTTTCCAACACAGTGTCAACCATTTCACAATCTTGAACAACACTTGAAAACAGTTTTTTGCTCTCTCGTGCGCTCAAGAAATTTCTAAGAAGTTTTTGGACTTCTAATCTCGAAGGTTTTTCTTTTGTTCTTTCCTTTTTCTTTCTAGCAAAGTGGATACTTGGATCTCTCATACAGAAAATTAGAGTTAGGTCAAAATTTTCGGCCACAAATAAAAATTACGAGCTGCCATTTAAACAGTAATTTTGCCCACACGAAGACCCGTTACCCCCGGCAACCCTAGTGCCCGGGTTAATGGTATGGCACAAGCTGGAATCAATTTCAAGACGAAGTTCCCTTTGCGTTTCCAAAACTTCAGTCATGTCCCGTTTGTGGAGCCCCTCACTCTTTTCTACTTGCTTATTGTTTTGTATCAAGATTGTGGTCCAACTCAGAATAAATTACAAAAACCCGGAAACGACCCCTCCCCCTCCCCCTTCCCGTCCCCCCCAAAAAAACTCTTCACTCCTCCAAGTTCTGAATTTATGATTGAATCCGAATTAACTTATAAAGCAAGAGCAAACTCAGCCATTCCAATAATGTTATGATTCGTCTAGATTATGAATCTCTTTGTTTAGTTATAGAAAAGAAGCAGAAATCTTAAATCAACTCGAAAATTCCGGATTTTCGATGAAAAAATCACAAAGCATTCCTCGTATTGCCGTTCGAACAATTGTATAGGCGATTCATGTAACGCAAAGACCGCGGGCGTACCGGCCTCTCTCTGATCAGGCGCTCTTTCGTTTCGCTTACCATCTGCTGTCTATCCTATGCACGAGCTATCTTGCTCGGACGCAACGGCTCCCAGTCTTTGCGTGTTATAATTCGACGATAGGAACTATACCGGTCATGCAACTTCCTTGGTGCCCTTCAATAGTTACCCAAGAAAGTGGTCGCAAAAGAAAGTATACATACATTTTTGATCATATTTCAAATCAAAGTTGGTCCTGTCAAGCGGATAGGTCTTTGCGTACAGAGGTCGTTGCGGCAATTCTACGCTATCCAGATCTGCTCTTATTGTTAGTGTACAATCGCTTTGTGCTAACACTTTCAAATAAACTCGATTTTGTAACTGCATAACTATATCACTGAGGACGATACGATGCAACAAGAGTCTATTTATTGGATTCACTGCATTATTCGGAATCCTCTTCTTCCTGAAATATATTCTGTTTCTCAAGCTTCAAGTTCCGATGATTGGAAAAATCAGTGAGAACTCTGAAAGTGAGTGTGGAAGATTTCACAGTTAAGATGAATGCAGCCATCTTCAGCAAGTCTTTTTTCTTCGACCATAGCAGTGTGACAACTGTTAGAGGCATTGAGGAGATCAACTCTTTGGATAGTTAAGAAACAGAGTGATCTGGCCGCTGAGTTAGCAAGTTGGAGGAAGCTTGAACGCTGTTTTCTTCCATTAGTGGGTAATATGGAAAAACGCTAAATATTCCACTTCTGACGGTGTCGGTAAAACTCTGCTTTTTCAATCTTGTCAGTCTTTCTATTACGTGAATTGCAGACTACGACAGCCAATTTTGGTGTTAACCTGACTTTACCTCTCTGATTTTCAAATACTCTTGTATTATCCTACCTGACTATTTTCTTCCTGACTACCATTGTTTCCGTTATTCTCTTCCTGATTACTGTTTCCAAACAGTGGGAAGATGTGTCTCTGAATGAGGTTTCTTGATACAAATTATGTTTAGCTGTAGTTCCAAACACTCTTTCACAGTTTATGAACTTGCTTTGTACCTTTTTTGAACAATATACTGTAGCAGCAGGGGGGGGGGAACTTTTTGCTTGAGTCTCCAAAATGTTTGCGTGCAAAATAATTTATCGGATGTAAGCTAATTCATCATCATGTGCAAGTACGTAAACTCTGAGGCATGAAAGAAAGTATATACAATACCGCTCATTCACAGAATGTGCAAAATTTCCGTGAATGTCGCGGAACCGAGATTTCCGCAGAAGTCCGCGACATTCCGGGAATTTTGCTCATACTGTGAGCGTTATGTAGACGGTGCACATTTAGCAGCGTTAAAATTGTAAAGGAGCAGTTCTCTATATCTTGAGGACTACGGCTACTATGCAGCCCGGTAAATCACTTACACAACTCGAATGCCATCTAAATACGATATCATACCTGTACTGCTGGAGGTTCAATAGTTGCAGAATCGGTAGTTACGACTGGTCCCTGGAAACAAATCTTGTGCATGCGAATTGAGTACGGCACAGTTAGTCAGAAGCAAGTTGGTTATAGCTTTCAAGCAAGAGCAGAAGGGAATCCTTCTTGTGAGTCCAAAGAGGAGCTTGGTAATTGCAGGGACGACGAAGGCAAATCAGCACGTTTTTAGTCAAAGTCATTGCCGTTGTTGGTCACTCACTATACAAAAATAAATAACGCATTTTTTGCATATTTCCCCAGCAAGAACTTCGCATAGGTTTTGTAAACTCAAAGAGACAATTCTCTAGGTGTTAATTTGCATCTATTTTTGGAATATTCTCTAACGAATAGCTTCGTATATGGGATCTACACAAAGATTCGTTTAGAGCCTACACTCAAGGCTCAGGCGAGCTTAGTATAGCAATGCAAACTCACATCCGTAGTGCGATAGGCGAAGCCTGCCGATTTCTGAAATGAAAATACAATGGTAGCTAAAGTTAGCGACAGAGATTGGCTCTTACGTTGTAGAATACCCAGTCGTCAAATAATCCCTTTCCAAAGAAGTTTCCTCTGTACTGCAAACTGCTGGATAAGGAAAAACGTTTCATCATACAGATTCCAATCTTTCCATAATGTGATCACTATGATTATTATTCATTGAATACACGACCAAATTTTTTGCCATTTTGAACCAGAGCATATTTTGAAATGTCAAGATTACGAATTGCCGGCCCTATGGTCTGAATTGGTAATCCTTCAAAAAGTATCTCAGACAAATATGTGCAAAAGCTTATACTTTGCCCAAAAAGTACACCATAAGCTATCAAAACCATAGAATAAAAACACCCCGGTGGGTCGTATTGTCATGATTTGTATAAAGTTTTACAGAATTAGCTTGCAGGTCCAATGCTGAATACTTCTTTGAAGCTGCAAATTCTAATAGCCCAAATTTTCAAACTGACAATGGTCGCATTGACTACTGAAAGGACACTTGGTGACCGTGGCCATTCATAATGATTTGTATATAAAAGAGTGTGTCTTTTGATGCTGGTTCGACCACTCCCATATCTGCGAAACGATAATCTGGATGAGGTTATGATTATTTTTTCAAGAATAATTGCGCTATTGCGAAAGGTCAAGATCATCCCTAAAATTTTTTCTCATTTTTAAATGCTGACTATGATTTAGATAGTTATAATCACAACAGTACTTACAACAGTACTCTTTTTCTCCTCAATATCTTCAAACGGTAAGCTAAAACAAATTTGGTGATTTTAACTACTCAAGTACAAATTTCCTACAAAAAAGTTTATAACTTCCTTCAAGAGATCGTTTCGCAGAAATCGAGCACAGATTTCTCAACGTTTCGAGATGCATCTTACGGTATATATTGCATTCCAAATGGCAACCTATCCTTTTCTTGTGATTGGCGAAAGTGGTGATGACTAGCGATTGATGATTCTAATGATGACTTGGCGTATCTAACTCACCGCTTTCACATCCAAAATGGCTACCAGCAGCAATACCTTAAAACGCGCTTGTCACGCGAGCTCAGTGGAAAGAAAAAAACAGGCATACCGCTCCAAGCGTTAGAAGTTTCATCCTCGATGAATAAAGACCAACTCTTGCTTGGCTCTTGCTAACTCGTACCGGATTTTATACGGGTAGGTGAAATTGTAGCTGAAACAACATGGACTTGTACATTAGTAGTTTAGCTAGTAGTTTAGCTTTGTTTCGTAATCAAAGAAAGGACTCACTATATGTACTTTATTCTGACAGTGGCTATAAAAATCTTACAAACTCAGCAAGAAAGCTGAGTTAACACAAATGTTGGTGTAGAGTGAGTATACATTCTAATGACTGAACTAACAAAACAATTCTTCTTCCCTAAATCTCCCTTCAAACAATGATTTTCCGTTTAATAGCTAGGAAAACACAATCTCTCAACTGTAGTAGTTCTAATAATGTACATAGTAATATAAAAACAAACTTTTTAGCGTAAAATCTATGGCGGCAATGATTGTACGTCACGCTACTAAGCTGCGGATGTCAATTTCAGCTTTCTCAAAAGAATTGAAGCATAATGTCACGCAATGAGTCGTCTAACCTAGCAGATGGTCCCAGCTTTGTAAATCGACAGCTACCTGTGTGAGGAGGATATGCAGAGCACACTCACTCTCTGCCTTTTGAATTTAATGGTTTGTCGAACTTCAGCCGAGAATGTTTTAAAGCATGGTATATCCTAAAAGTATGTTCATTCTGTTTGCTAATAAATAAATCTCTTGAGGTTTAAGCGGACCTCTGCGTGACATTTAGGATTGCGGAACATTAGAGATAACTCTGGGCTATTAAGGGCCAAACACTTATGAAGATAATCGGAATCGCTATACTGTATATAAAGTTTTACTTTACCGTGAAATTTCATAAATTCATTTTGAATTCATAATTCATTAAAATTCATAAACCAAGTGTAGATGACGACGTTTTCGGTTTTCGGGTGAATTCAGCTCTCAAAGACTTAATACTTGTAAGAAGTTGAGTAGGGAAGTCAGTATGCGTGAAAACACTGTCATACAGCTATTCAGATATTTTTGAAATGTTGAAGCGCGGTCAATCCAGAATGGCGCAAAATACTAAAAATTTCTACCGGTATCCTACTGTAGTAATGAAGGATAAGTGATTCGTTGTGCACTGTTAAGTTGAAGCTAGTTCTACAGTATGATATTCATAGTTCCGCTCAGGATCCAAGCTACCTTTGGGTCCAGCGGTACTATGAAAACTTGGGAATTTTGAGAACCTTTGAAGACAGGGAGAAAGAAGACTGACATAGAAATGCATCTGAAGATAGTGTGCTGACTGTAAGTGTGCAAGGAGCGTTCATGTATGCAATTATGATTTTCGTACTCAGTGGATCAAATGACTTGCAAAGCCAAAAGCATTTACCGGATAATACTCACTAAGCTTTTAGTTGTACGGCACGCAGGTGTCTTCTTACAACGGATTTACGTGGGAAGGGCTTGACCCTTGACCCCATAATTTTGCACCTAAAATCATCGCAGAGAACCTTAAAAGGCCGTGTTGCAGATCCAGGTGCACAGCACTTGTCTCTCAAACTTTTTAGCTTATAAAGATTGTTTCAGGAGTACGTTGATTACTACGGTAGCGCAGGAGTGCAGCACATAGCTCTAGACACCAGCGACATCATTAGTGCCATTGAAGCACTTCGAGCTCGAGGCGTAGAGTTTTTGACCATTCCGAAGTCCTTCTGCAATAATTTGCGGACGAAATTAAGCAAGAGCGACACAAAGGTGGAATAACCTAAGATTTTCAATGGCAGTCAAGAAGAATTGAGTTTTAGATTACCGAGGACATGAACCGTCTGCAAAAGCTGCACATTTTGGTTGACTTTGATTTTTTCTACAGATTTTCAGTAAACCCTGTGAAGACCGACCAACACTTTTCACAGAAGTTATTCAACGGCATAATCATCAGGTGAGAATTTTAGAACAATTTTCGAAAATTTTTGTTCAAATTCTACTCTCTAGGGCTTCGGTGCCAGAAATTTCAAGGCTCTCTTTGAATCTATAGAATTGGAGCAGAACGAGCATGGAAACTTATTCTATGAAGACGTCGCAACTGGTGGAAAGAAAATCTAAAAATTCTCGATTGACACAAGGTGTGGGCCCTTCTGAACCCGCTCTAATCGCGATGGCTGCGATAGGTGTGCGCGTCTCAGAGGTCACGTCTTAGTTCGCTGCTTCGATAAAGCGAGCGGTTGACCTAAGCAGGTGCGCTGCGGAAAAGGACGAGTTCCTCAGTAATGACCTCCCTACCTCGGACCCTTGATAGAGATGTCGTAGACGCATGATTCAACCAAATGCTGCTGTTCTGTTGCCTTACCTAACAAACTCGCTGCTATTTACTAAACTGACGTGCTTCCAATCAAATCTGTGGGATGTGTTTGCTTCGACTACTGAGATACTCTGCATCGTGTATCGTCACATTCATTTGTGTTGACTAAACGAAGCCTGCAGGGAAAACACACTTTTTGGTTTGATTATCGCTGATAACCCGAGACCCAAGATTTTTGTTAAAGCAGTTTGTCGCCAACAGTGTGATTCTGCGCCCATTATAGCGGCTGCATGATTATATTCAAGTAAACCATACCAATACTTATCAGTTTTGAACCAAGTTCTAAGCGAGGAAAATAGCGGATATCACTGTTTCGTGACTGTTTCGTGAACTTTAGAGAGCTGTGAAGTTCCAATATCTGGGTCAGAAATTTGGTCTACAAACAGTAGCTTATGAACATTCAAAACTCCATGCACAATCCCAAGAATTAGCGAGAAAGGAGTAGCGTTTGCGCAAAAAACTAGATGCTACCAAACAAATGCCTTTGTATTGAGCGAAAGTCGTTTAGAGCAAACTATAGACTATAAGGTATCCTGCAGAGTTCATAGAAAACCACATGTTGTACTTTGAATTGTGGGTCGGGTCGCGTGTGCTCTTTTTTTCCTTTACATTTTGCGGGATTGTGCTTTCCCCTCGACGTATCATGCAGTTCACAACGTTCAAACGTGTAACAATGCATGAAACAGAAAGGATGCACACAAACAAAATGTGGCAGTAAAAGTAATCAAAATGAGATGAGAAACCATTTATATTATTACTCAAGAAATTCAAAACAAGTTTCCAAAAACAAACCTAATTGATACGATCAGGTTAAAGTTTAGGCCGTAGAGTAGCAAAATGGAGCGAATAGCAGCATTACAGAAATGGGACTGGATAAAGTGGGGATTACTACTGCGTCCAGATCTGAATGCTGGAAAGGGGAACCTCGAGGTGCGCTGAAAACTTTCGAAAATAAAGCGTTCCGCAGAAGACTCGTCCGCAATGGCCGCAGCGCAGGCGCCCGCGTCCTACTTGTGGGGTTACTGTAGTAGACGGTGGGTTCAGAAGGGCCGTCTCCCTTAACACATTTGCTTTGATACCCAGAATAAATCTGATTTTAATGCATCTGCAATGGTAACTGCGGTGATACAATGGGAACACTTAACACTGTACAGTTATACCGGTAACATCGGTAACATAGGTATAAGGGTATGGTCAAAGCTTTAGAAGAATTTTTCAATTGAGTCCACTACTTACAATTTTTCCTTTCAAAATATAAAATTGTTAGTTGATACTTAATGATCATTACGCAAACCCTAAAGTTGTCCTGACAATTTCATTGTTAGTGATCAGTAATTGTTTCTCACTGCATTTTTATTTCTAATTTTGATAATCAAGGGTGTGTGCACCAGTAAACATCAACTAACTTCGAGACCCTTCCTAGTGTCAACGGTGCACTTTTTAAGACTGCTGTGATCCTGCAGTAATAAAGAGCAATTGGATTCGCTGCATGCGGTAAATCTAAGCTGAAGCTCTAAAAAATGATACTCGAATTCAGCGAAAGACATCAGGGAAAACAAATGTTGTTGACGATCAAACAGTGTGGTTTTTGGGACAAAGTGAATGCGCGAGCCGCGAGATATAACCTAACATATTAGGAGTGAAAGAGGGTTAATTTGTATGGATTGTTTCAAAACAGGCCTACTTTGAGGATTAAGTCAGCATGAAACAAAAAGCGTTTCTTTTGCACCCCTAATGTATTTGTGTGTCTTCATTGCAGTTTGGTCATTTCGTAACCAAAAATGAGCGATTTTCAAAAGTTCACGCAACTTTTGGTACTTTTATTTGCTGGTCTCGTCCTACTATAACATCTATATGCTCTCCTTCTGGATCCCAAAAAGATGGAGCTGTGAACTTATGACCTCAAACAAATACCTATGTTATTGTTTCACCCAGAAGCAATCGGAGATATTGCTTAGCACGATTTATCTGCAATTTGGGCTACAGTAGTGATGTGTTGACATATCTTAAGCTCCGCTAGAAAAGACCAAAACAAGCAAGAACCGCAATTATTCCACCTCAGAGACATGAATGAGGTGTAGGCGTTGATGACGTCGGCTCAGTTCACACCTAGTTGACTCGCAAGCTGGTCGTGTTACAGCCTTTAATGGCATGCGTTAATTTGTGAGAGTGGTCCAGAGATTTGTTGGCTTGCTGTGTATCCTATAGCTGTTTCACATGCCTTGCCCAACTACAACACCCACAGTGAAGTACATACTATCATACTTACCATACTTATACCATACTTTTTGCTGCATTCAACAAAAATACATATTCTGACCCATGCGCTCAAGAGAAAACTATCACTTGGTGTTTACTGAAGCTATGCCGAGCGTTTTCTTTGAGACAAAAAGTAATGGGGATATCGTTTTTGTGGCCGAAAAGACACAAAATACGCGACGTTTTTTTAGCCGACGTTTCTTTTTTGAGGGATTTCTAGTGTAGGGTTAGGGTCAAAGGAGACTTCGTTTCGTAGTTTCCCTTATGCCAGTTCGTGCCAAGCCCTGGTTCAAATTCTTACCAATCTTCCTTCCTTCCATCACGTTATGTTACCAAGAACGTAATCTCTATGTATTAATATATTATTATGTATTATTAATATATACTTCCCTACCATTTTGAAAGTTTGCAAGCGGCTCAACTGAAACTCAAGCGTATGAATAATCAACATCTGAGGACATCACCATAACTAGGATCCGTTACGAGGAATTCAAACGGACACCTGCTGAAGACCAAAATGCTTGCAATCTTTGGACGCGATTCCATTTTAGGGGCGCCTTTTTGTTGTTGGGGCCCAGGATTTTTGATGGGAATCCGTTCTTAGCGGAAAGGAACAAGGAGTTTTGAACAAATCCATATGATTCCTCAAATCATAGGCGTGAATGAATTCTTATGAAAAATGTGATGCGCTGGTTTTCCCATCTTCAGACTATGAGTAAAGGACGTTATGTCGCTAAAAGGGAAAGTGCGCAATTATTTGTGACAGACTGCACACCTTTACGTATTACAGTCGGTGCTAGCTGTCCGCACGAGGGATACAGCTTACCAACGACATATTGTCCCCTGTCCTCAGGGTGGCACTAAGGTATCAATGGTACCAATATAATACCTAATTTGAAAAAAAAGCACGCATTCGCATAATTCTTCATGCAACTTCATATTTTCTTGCTTAACCTACTGCGCTTCATATCATATTTGAAGCTATATCATGATCTATGTCTTGGCAGCAAGTCATTTTTCCACTTTTCCTAGTAGAGAGCATTCATAGCAATGCGCTTCATCCTCCGATCACACTTTCCTATAGTTATTCGTGATTTGTTAATACTAGCACTTTCTGTTTACATACCAAATTTGGTGTCATATTGCACCTGTGCGCCGCAAATGAACTATTTTTCATTAGCCAGTAGCAGGATAAGAAAGCTGACTTACGCCCTTCGTCCTCATAATTTTTGCAGAATTTTTCGTATTTCAGCCCTCTATCAAGTATTTAATACTTTTTGTTCGGGACCTTCCCCATGCTCGTACGATTTCCTCTTCGCTGTTTTTCTAAAACGAATTTCAACTTGACATCTGCACTTGCCGCGCCCTTCTTACAATTAGAGGAGCCTATGCGGAACGTAGCCTTTCGGAGGAAGGCCCATTCAAGAACAGCGATTAAGTAACGTGAACAAGTGCTTAACATCACTCACCTATATCTGCAATAGCTTCTGTATGCTTAGCAGAAGCAATTTTATCTTAGCGTAATTGTACTGAAGTGCTCCTTCTGCGAAACTTTTTAGTTCTGATCCCATCTGTTTGAGATAGTCTCACGACAGTGGCGTACCCAGGATTTCGGCTCGGGGGGGGGGGGGGCGCGACAAAAATTTTTTTCTAAAGAAGGTGCGTGGCGTTAGCGACGCACTCCGAAAAATTTTTTGGGGTGCTTCTCAAAATTTTTCCGGGTCCCCGACCCCTAAAATCTGGAAAAAGGGGGCGTGGCGTCAGCCACGCCCCCGAAAAAATTTTTTTATAAGGCTAAAATGAATTTTTAAAAAATTTTAAAAATTATTTTAATTATTTACAAGTAAAAACAAGTCACTTGCACATTTTTATAACCCATGTAAGTAACTTTCAAAAATTTCGCGACCCGTTCTCGGGGGGGGGGGGGGCGCGCGCCCCCCCCCCCCCCGCCTCCCCCCCCCCCTCGGTACGCCACTGTCTCACGACATCACCTACTTGAAAACTCTCTTCAAGATTGAAATTTTTGAAAGCAATCCTCTTGAACACAATTCGTCATTCACAATTCATATGATTTCAACCCAACAACTAGATAGGTCTTGTAAAAATGTATTTTTATTTTTATATTTGCAATCTGCAAAATGGGCTAGATTCGTTAATGATTAGCCTTCCATTCTTATTCTGGCTCTGCCGCTACCGAAGAAGTTCAATCATTGGGGCGTTCCATAAGTCTTGCATCGAAATTTCTGGGAATTTGTAATCTTTTCAGTTTAGCTCATTTGTTTTGACATAGATAGAGAAAATTAATTAAAGGTGCTGAAAGAAAAAAGCTGTGTAGATTACCGCGGCGATAGAACCTGACCATAAGAGGCGCTCAAATTATATCCAAATTTTTTTTGTCATTGAATGCCAAAAATTTCGATTAACTTTATTTCCGTGTTTGATCTTGGGGAATGACCTATTTCTAGCATAGCAGAACTCGTGTTAA